AGTTGTGGGTGTGGCCTTATGACACACTTCCGGTGATGTCAGGGGGTGTGGCCTTATGACACACTTCCGGTGATGTCAGGGGGTGTGGCATATGCTAATGAGTTATGCTAATGAGTTCCCCTAGCTCTTTTTCTACGAAAAGACCCCTGGTTGGAACACTTTCCCTATGAGGAAAGGTTAAAGCGCTTAGGGCTCTTTAGCTTGGAGAAACGATGACTGAGGGGTGACATGATTGAGGTCTATAAGATTATGCATGGGATAGAGCAGGTAGGGAAAAGAGGTACTTTTCTCCCTTTCTCACAATACCAGAACTCGTGGGCACTCCATGAAATTGCTGAGCGGTCGGGTTAGAACAGATAAAAGGAAGTACTTCTTCACCCAAAGAGTGATTCACACATGGAATTCACTGCCACAGGAAGTGGTGGCAGCTACAAGCATGGACAGCTTCAAAAGGGCATTAGATAAGCATATGGAGCAGACTTCCATCGGTGGCTATTAGCCACAAGGTATAGATAGGAACTCTCAGTCTGGGGCAAGTGATGCTCTGTATTCTTGGTGCTGGGGGGGGCAACAGTGGGAGGGCTTCTAGTATCCTGGCCCCACTGCTGGACCTCCTGATGGCACCTGGTTTTTTTGGCCACTGTGTGACGGAGTGTTGGACTAGATGGGCCATTGGCCTGATCCAACACTGGCTTCTCTTATGTTCTTATGTCTGGGGCAAGTGATGCTCTGTATTCTTGGTGCTTGGAGGGGGTCAACAGTGGGAGGGCTTCTAGTGTCCTGGCCCCACTGCTGGGCCTCCTGATGGCACCTGGTATTTTTGGCCACTGTGTGACAGAGTGTTGGACTAGATGGGCCATTGGCCTGATCCTACACTGGCTTCTCTTATGTTCTTATGTCTGGAGCAGGTGATGCACTGTATTCTTGGTGCTTGGGGGGGGCAACAATGGGAGGGCTTCTAGTGTCCTGGCTCCACTGCTGGACCTTATGATGACACTTGGTATTTTTGGCCACTGGCTTCTCTTATGTTCTTATGTCTGGGGCAGGTGATGCACTGTATTCTTGGTGCTTGGGGGGGGGGGCAACAATGGGAGGGCTTCTAGTGTCCTGGCTCCACTGCTGGACCTTATGATGACACTTGGTATTTTTGGCCACTGTGTGACAGTGTGTTGGACTAGATGGGCCATTGGCCTGATCCAACATTGGCATCTCTTATGTTCTTATGGGTGTGCCAAGCTACACCCTGCTGTCCAGATGGTCTCCAGCTATTGACCTGGCAGGCTGGGCATTCCTCCTTGGACAGCGCCTCTTCAGTCCATCTGGGTGGCACCTGCCCCCTTAGGGGCTGGGTTGTCACCAGTATACAGATGACACTCAGCTCTATTTTGTGCTCCCAGCTGGTCCCAGGGAGGCTGTGGAAACCGTGAACAGGTAACTGGAGGCAGTTTTGGGATGGATGAGGGCTAACAAACTGGAACTTAATCCCAACAAAACGGAGATGCTGCTACTAGTGGGGGGAAGGTCTAATCTGGGATTCAAAGTGTCACCCAGTCTGAATGGGGTTGCACTCCCTTTGAAAGAACAGGTCCATAGTCTGAGGGGCTCTCGGACCCAGGCCTACTGCTGGGTAAGCAGGTGTGTCAGCCGTCGCCAGGAGTGCCAGTTGCAGCCTTTGTGGACAGAAAAGACCCAGCCACTGTGGTTGTTAGATACAAGACTCGAGGCAGCAGGTGAACAGTGATAACAGCTTTATTGAACACGAAGTCAGAAGAACCAGAACGAGACAAACAATGGAGCAACAGGCTGCTTTTTAAACAGTCCGGGCTTGGCAAGCCACGCCCACATGTCAGATAGTATCCAATCAGAAACTGTACATAAAGACCAATCACTTTGCTTCCCTCCAGAACTTCCCTTGTTCTGATAGGTCAGTTTACAATACCTTAGTCAGACTCAAGCTCAACACCATCATACATTATATTCCATACACAACAGTGGTACAAACCTTATTACGTATCGATTAGATTACTGCAATGTGTTCTACATGGGGATGCCCTTGAAAAGTGTTCGGAAACTTCGATTGGTACAGAACACTGCAGCCAAGGTGTTGATTGGAGTGGGTCATACGGACCCTAACCACTCCAATCTTGGCCCATCTACATTGGCTCCCAATCTGGAACTCTCTTCCCAGGGTAGGGTTGCCAGGGCTTACCTGAGTCCTGGGGGAGGCCCCTCAGGCCTGGCTTTTGGGGTCTTTGTGCGCACACTGCAATGACATCACCCGGAAGTGATATCATCGCACCGGGCATGTCGTTTGGGGACGCTCTAGCATTTGGGTAAAAAACTCTATGGTCACCATAGAGTTTTTACCCAAATGCTAGCACGTTCCCCACTCAATGTGCCTGGCGTGATGTCACCTCTGGGTGACATCATTGTGATGGGCACGTTGGGCATGACGGTGCTCTTTGGGGCAGGGCTCCCCCGCCAGCCAGCTGGCCAGCAGCAGATTGGGGTCCCAAAAGCAGGAAGATCCCCGTCCCCATTGGGGGAATGGCAACCCTATCCCAGGGCTATTCATCTGCCCTTTTCTGTTGCCATCTTCCGCCAGTGGTGAAGTCTTTTAAAATTTTGTTTGGTGTTTCCTCAGTGATCCTGCCTTCCTGTCCTGTGTTTAGTTGTTGTTTTTATGATTTTGTATATGTATATGCTTTGGGTTTAATTGTGACAATGATGTGAGGGTTTGGGGGGTATGATTTCAATGGTTTGTAAAATGTGATTTCAGTATGTTTTTAATCTGTTAGCTGCCATGGTGGACAAATGTGGTAAATAAAATAAATGCATAGTTTCTAGGGGGGGGTATTTAAAAATGTCCTAACTAGCTGATAAGGCTTCAAAATAGGCTTGCTGGATGATTAAACCATCATTTTTTTTTCATTTTTGTTCTTCCAGGACAGAACACAAAGAAAAAAAATAAAATACTGAAAAATAAAATCAAAACCAAAGAGCAAACCGAGACCCGACCCATTGAGAACCTGTCGAGCACTTTTGGTAGGAAAGGGGGGGGGGCATTACAGTCTTTGCAGAATACTCTGTATGCCAATCATAAGAACATGATAGCATAAAAAGAGCCCTGCTGGATCGGATCAGTGGTCCATCTAGTCCAGCATCCTGTCTCATACAGTGGCCAAAAAGTTCCTCTGGAGGGCCAACAACACGGAATAGAGGCCGAGGAGTTACCCTGATGTTGCCTCCTGGCTCTGGGATTCAGAGGATTAGTGCCTCTGAATGTGGAGGTTCCCCTCAGTCACCATGGCTAGTAGCCATTTTAAAACTCTTTATTCCTGTGACCATCACTACATCCTCTGGCAGCAAATTCCACATTTTAATCACTCTCTCTTACATTCTTATCATGAAAGAGGTTGACAAATTACTCTGGGTGTGTAGGAAAGAATTAGAGAGGGTTTGCTCCATCTCTCCCATAGTGCTAAAACTGAGGGTCACCCCATTAAATCCATTCAGGACTACTGCATGCAACACATTGGTTACTTATATAATTGGCTGTCATAAGATGTAGTTGGATAGCTGGACGGGGGCAGGGGGAGAGACAAATACATAAAGGCTGTATGTGTGGTATAGAGTAGGAGGGAGGGGACCTGTGTTCAAATCCCCACTCAGGCATGACACTTAGGGGCCAGTCACACTTCTCAGTGGAACCTCCTTCACACAATTAAACAACCCAATAGATGTTGCTTACCTTGACTTCCAGAAAGCTTTTGATAAAGTTCCTCATCAAAAGTTCCTAAGTAAGCTCAATAGCCACGGGATAAAAGGACAAGTCCTTTTGTGGATCAAAAACTGGCTAATTAATAGGAAACAGAGTGTGAGTATGGCAAATGTGGTTCAATGTGGCCAAGTGCAAAGTGATGCACATTGGGGCCAAAAATCCTAACTATAAATATACGTTAATGGGTTCCAAATTGGCGGAGACTGACCAAGAGAGAAATCTTGGAGTTGTAGTAGATAACTCACTGAAAATGTCAAGACAGTGTGCGACTGCAATAAAAAAGGCCAATGCTATGCTGGGGATTATTAGGAAGGGAATTTAAAACAAATCAGCCAGTATCATAATGTCCCTGTATAAATCAATGGTGTGACCTCATTTGGAATACTTTGTACAGTTCTGGTCACTGCACCTCAAAAAGGACATTATAACTGTGATGGGTCTCTCCTGGGTGCCGGGGGGGGGGGATCCCACTAGTAGCCGGGGCGGCGGGCTGGGTTACGCTGGCAGTCGGGGGGGGGGCTCAGAACGGCAGGGAACGGGGTTAGCAGCACCCCTTAGGTTCCTCTGCCCTGTAAGCTGGAGATCACTCGCCCTAGCTCTCTCTCTCTAGCCGTCGTGCGTAGTGTCTCCTTCTCGCGTTTGTCCTCCCCGGTCCTCTCCAAGAGCCCCTCTTTTTATTCCCCATGCTTCCCTGCCAGCGCCGCCCATCTTCCACGCCTCCCTCCTCCCCCATCCGGCCCCGCCCTCATTCATAGGCCAGGACGCTCCTCGGGCGTCTGGGGTGTGGTCAGCAGTGGACTGGCGGCGGTCTTGTTGGCCCAGGGCTGCGCCGCTGGCGCCGCCAGGTGCCGCCGGCGGCTTCTGTTGTTGCCTCGTGGGGCCTGCTTCGCGCCTCTCAAGGGAGGGGCTCCATGGGGTTCGCTGGGCGGGTCTCGCCCTGCCAGCAGTGTACATCTTGCTTAGGCTCTCGGGAGTTGCCCCATCGTGCCGCATCCATTGTGGGGGTTGTGCTGTCGATACTCCCCAGCTCATCCGCCGTTCCTGGGGTGAGTTGGGGTGTGGGTATGCCTCTGGGGGTGTGAAGGATTGTCCTGGGGCCGGTGGACCGGGACAATAGCATTGGAAAAAGTGCAGAAAAGGACAACTGGAATGATCAAAGGAACACTTTCCCTATGAAGAAAGGTTGAAGCACTTGGGACTCTTTAGCTTGGAGAAATGACAGCTGAGGGGTGACATGATTGAGGTTTATAAGATTATGCATGGAATAGAGAAGGTTGAGAAAGAAGTACTTTTCTCCCTTTCTCACAATACAAGAACTTGTGGGGGCACAATGAAATTGCTGAGCAGTTGGGTTAGAATGGATAAAAGGAAGTACTTCTTCACCCAAAGTGATTAACACATGGAATTCACTGCCACAGGAGGTGGTGGCGGGTACAAGCGTGGATGGCTTCAAGAGGGAATTGGAGAAACATATGGAGCAGAGGTCCATCGGTGGCTATTAGCCACAAGGTATAGATAGGAACTCTCAGCCTGGGGCAAGTGATGCTCTGTATTCTTGATGCTTGGAGGAGGGCAACAGTGGGAGGGTTTCTAGTGTCCTTGCCCCACTGCTGGACCTCCTGATGGCACCTGGTATTTTTGGCCACTGTGTGACAGAGTGTTGGATTGGATGGGCCACTGGCCTGATCCAGCATTGGCTTCTCTTATGTTCTCTTATGTTCTTAAGATAAAATGGAGGAACCATGTACACAGCCCAGAGCTCCCTACTCCTGTGAACTCTGATAGCTAAATAAAGCCTCCATCTTCAGAGGCAGTATACCCCTGGGGAGTAGGAGAGAGCTGTTGCCTTCATGCCTCACTTCTTTGAAGCAGCAGGCTGGACGATGAACGAAATGGGCTTGTGGTCTAATCTGGCAGGGCTGTTCTTGGGGTAGGTTTTTACTCCTGCATTAGGGTTTTTTAGAACATGAAAACCTTGGTATTTTATGGGCCAAATATGAGCATACCTGAAGCACTGTGACTTTGCCACCGTGATCAGACAGTAGCATTACCACTTTTAAGAACAGGGTGTGTGCGCATGCATGTGCGTGTATGCTCTGCAACTGCAGGCAAGAGCCTTTTCCTCATTGTGATATCCTCAGAGTGAGAAAAGCTGTTTGTCTGTTCAGTTTCTTTCTTTGCAACTGTGCCTCCTTCCCCAAGCCAACAGCAGCACTAATTTCTTCCAGAAAAGGAAGTGACAACACCACCAGGAATATGTTGTGAATTGCCATTAATTTATTTATCAAAACCATATTGCTTCCTTAGAGATGAGGATGATGTTGGGTTTTCCCCCCCCTCCTTGCACCTGCAGCAGATAGCAAGAAGTGCCGGCTATATGTATTACACCAGCTGTGTTTGTGTTCCCTAGAATTGTATCGGAGAGCCATGCTGGCTCTGAAAATGCAACAAGAGGCGCAGAAGACTCATTCATCTAACTTTTCCTGAGCCAGTCAATAACCTGAGGGCAGAAGTCTCAAGCTGGTACCAGCAGAGATGAAGAGGAGAGACTAAGCACCTGATCCGAAGATGGACCGAAACATCGTGTGGCATTCAGAAGGGAGACACTGGTGTACAGCAGGCCATCAGATGCCTCAAAGCAAAACTCTGGGAGAGAATGGGGATGGCTCTGGGAATTCCGCTTCCACATCACCAGAATCCAGTGCAAATCTGCAGCCTCATCCTTGGGAAAGTCTCTTCTGGATTCATTTGCAAAAAGGACAAATCATTTGGATGCTTTGAAGCCATTCCTTCCTTTGTGCCCCACTGGCACTGCCCCAGCAGGCACCCTTTTAGCAGCACAGTCTTCACGTCATGCCCAAATAGGAAGACATCCAGTGAGGGTACTTCTCACAGACTGCCTTGCTCCTCTAGAACTTGGTAATGTGGGAGAGATACCCAAGTCTGAGGGCTGTGCAATTTCCAGATACACCATACATCTCAAATGGCTAAATATTTGTTAGACTGAACTGTGATGTACATTTAAAAAAAAACAAAGTCTCAGTGTGTGTGTTTTTTTTAAGAAGAAGAAGAAGAGATTGGATTTATACCCCGCCCTTCACTTGGAGTCTCAGAGCGGCTTACAAACTCCTTTCCCTTCCTCTCCCCACAACAGACACCCTGTGAGGTGGGTGGGGCTGAGAGAACTCTGACACAAACTGCTCTTTTTCAAGGACAGCTGTGCCAGAGCTTGTGACTGACCCAAGGTCACATCAGCAGGTGCAAGTGGAGGAGTGGGGAATCAAACCCGGTTCTCCCAGATTAGAGTCCGCACACTTAACCACTACACCAAACTGGCTCTTTAACCAAACTTTAACCAGAAACAATAACCAAGAACAGAAGTTTGCATAACATAATAGAACTAAGGTGGAGTAGGTGGTAGTGCTGGATGTGACCTGGATTCAAATCCCCACTGGGTGTGCAGCTCACTGAGTGCCCTTGGGCCATTCACTCAGACAGCTGAACCCACCTTACAGGGTTGTTGTGGATGCAACTTGGCAGTTTTCATGTACACCGCTCTGAGCTCTCTACAGAAGGAGTGGGCCTCTTCTCTGCCTCCATGCCAGTCTCTCAGTGTAAGGAAAACCAAAGAGACATCATGGGATAAGTGAGTAGAAAATAGTCAGTGACAACCGTGATATATTTATGAAGGGAATATCACTCTTTTTTTAGATTTTCAAAAATAGATAAATATTGATGCCTTTCTGTACATTCACACAAGAACAAACACCAAAAACTGTGCTTGTCAACATTGTGGAATCATTTTTTTTAATGTTTATTCTTGTGCGAATGTACAGAAAAGCATCAGTATTTATCTATTTTTGAAAATCTAAAAAAAGTTGTGTTCCCTTCGTAAATATACCACGGCTGTCGCTAACTATTTTCTAGTCTCGACGCTGTGGCTTATCCCTAACCTGTCAGCTGTCAAGGAGCTTGGCGAAACTACAAGGGATGTAATTTCACTAATGCTCATTTCCTCCAGCCCTCCACAGGCGCACACGCTTCGCTGTTCTCTAGGGTCACTGACAGGGTTGCAGCCTTGTCAAGTTCACTAATGTCATTTCTTTATAGCCCTTGACTAGGGTTGCCAGCTGGGAAACACCCGGAGATTCTGAAGGCAGAACCTGGGGAGGGCGGGGTTTGGGGAAAGGTGGACTTCGACAGAGTTATAATGCCATAGAGTCCACCTTCCAGAGTGACCATTTTCTCCAGGTGAACTGATCTCCGGGAGATCTCCAGCTACCCACCTGGAGGCTGACACCGCTATCCTTGACTTCTTTCGGAAGGCAAAGATTTTTCAGTGGTTTTCTTGTTGCCACTGCAGCTGCTGATTCAGCACAGCAGCAATGGGGTGCCACGTGGCAGGTTTTCCGTGTTGCATCCCATTTCCACTATATCAGTGGTGGCTGCGGGGCTGGTAACCAGTAGCTATATATCAATTACCGACTTAAAAAACAAAAGTTCCTTTGTAGTGGTGGTGGGTAGCTACCACAGCATCCTGCAGTGTGGGAAATGGTGCTGATGAGCGTGGAACCGGGAAGAACCAGACTTTCCTGTCTACATAGCAGCCAGCCTGGCTTTGCTACAGTCTTTCCAAGAAACGATCATAGTAAAGCAGGTTTTGAAAGACTGCAGGAAGGACAGAAAAGCGAGGAGGTGCATGAATGCACCCTATTGCTGTGAGGAGGGGAGGGGAGGAGAATCCTGCTTCCCATTAGCATCCAGCCTGGGCCAAACAACCTGTGTGGGAAAAGTCCTTGTCAGTTTTGCTGGTGTGAGCAAAGGAAGCAAAGGAAAGAAATGGCGGTGGGGCAATTTGGGAGGAGAACTGAGATTCCCTTCATCTGGCCAGTGCACAAACAGCGGAAGGTCTTCTCAGGCACTAACTGGAAGACATATGGAAAGATTTACAGCAGAACTAGCATCACTTCTGAATTATGCTAATATGCATTGAATGGACTCCAAAATGACAATGCATTTTTTAAACGCATGGATGATTTGGGGCCTCAAAGCAAACGAATCTTCACCTGTCACTCACTGGAACTAATGCAGTTCACACTGTATAATGAGCTGTAGCAGGGACAGTCCAAAGAAAGGTTACAGTAATGGAGGACAGAAGCTCCATCTTGGGTCACCTTGCAACTGAAAGGGCCCCCTCTGGGGTCTGCCCTTCATTCCTCATCAGAGTTTCACTACCTCCAGGGAATGCATGATTGCTAAAAGAGATACTTGCTTTACAGCCTTACATGATCAGACAAGGTCGCCTAACGCCGTAAAGTCTCATGGAACAGATACTCCCAGCCAACCGTAGTTCTGCCAAAAGCCACTCCCAAGAATCCCCAAAATAATTTTTGCTTTCCCTTGACTTGACACTTAACAAAGATGAATAAATAGGATTCAGTAAATGAATTGCCTATATCTGTGTCAGTATGAAAAATCCTCTTTTTTCTCCCCCTGACAGGTTTTTAAGATCTCCACAAGGGTCTGAAATCCAGTGACTACTTCCCCCAGCGTGCCTCTCTTCATGTAAAGACACAGAACCCCTTCTCGGACAAACAAAGGGGCATGCCACCACTGATCCAAATTAAAATCCATTATTATCTTGTCTTCTGCGGAGGGGGGGCACAATTTCAGTATCCTCAAACTGGTTGCACAGAGCAAATGAGATGTTATCTTTTATTTGGACCAGTTGGTGTTCACTGGGCAAGACTGTCAACTTTCAGGTTACCTAGAACTCTTGCTCAGGAAATGAGACTGTGCTGCCTAGGTAATGTCATTCTGTGTGGCGTCAATTGACTCTTTTATTCTCACCAATGAAATCTCTCAATAGTGTTAATAGAAGGGCTGTTGCATTTCCCCCTCTGCTGTCAGTCTTTTAAGGGACCTGTGTCGTTCTATCTGGCGGCAGAGAGAGATTTGGTTAACTGCCAGCTTTTTGTATTCACAGTGACACCCGTTATTATTTTCTCCTCCACAGATGGCCAAGGAGGCCTTGCTGCAAACTCTGTCCTGTGCCCTGCCACACCTGAAGTCAGCTTGACATGAGGCCTCAAGAAAAGGGTCTGAAACATTTCCCCCCTCTCTCTTACTCTTGTTTAAAACATCCAGCTTGGTGAAGAGTGCTGAGGAACTTAAAAGCTTGCACATTGTTTTGTGTCATGTCGGATGGCCTGAATAAAAGGCATTGTTTTCTTTGGACCAACTCGGGTTGCCAGCTGTGGGTTGGGCAATACCTGGAAACTGGGCGGTGGTGGAACTTGGAGAGGCAGGATTTGGGCAGGGGAAGGACTTCAGTGGGCTACAATGCCGGAGAGTCCCCCTTCCAAAGTGGCCATTATCTCTAGGTGAAGTGATCTGTCACCTGATCTCCACGCACTGTAATAGCAGGACATCTCCAGCCACCACCTGGAGATTGGCAATCCTAGGACCAACACTGCTGTTTGAAACCTTTTTCTCAAACTGAGAATGGGAGGGGTTAGAATAAAAGGGCATATTCTCAAACTTCAGCATCTGTCCCAATCTTCTCTTGGGCAGCCTGAGAAAGACCTATGTGTAACTCAAAAAACCCTGCACTATGGCCTTATTCGATTATTCCTAGTAAGAGGGTCTGTTTCAGCTGTCACTAGTGGGTACAAGCTTTTGTGTGCACTTCTTCAAAAAAGCTTACTTACACCCAGAATTGAACATTGTTGGTCCTGAAGGCGCCACTGGACTCAAACTTTGCTCTGTTGCTTCAGACCAACATGGCTGCCCACCTGAAGCTGTCACTATGCTTTACCAATCTCCCGGTGAGGCCTGGAGATCTCCCGGAATTACAACTGGACTACAGAGCTCAGTTCCCCTGGATAAAATAGTTGCTTTGCAGGACGGACTCCATACCCCACTGAGTTCCCGCCCCTTTCCAAACCCCGCCCTCCCCAGGCTCCAACCCCCAAATCTCCAGGCTCACGAACAAAGTGCTTCTTCTGAAGGCAAAGGCGGTATTCACTGGCTTCGTGCCTCTTATGCAGAGAATCCAAGCCTGCGAGAAACATTTGCACAGCGTATTCCACACAACTGCTTCAAGAAATCCCGGCCAATTTGCCGCTCAGCAAAGAAGCCCTCTTGCCTCAAGGGTGGGACGGCGCAGCTGCCCTTCCTGCGGCCCGAGGTGATCTCACGACAGAGTTTCTGTCTCTTTAAAAAAAGGAGGGCTCCCGAGCGAGTCACAGGAGGGAGGGGGTGGTCCTAGGTTCAAGCCTTTCTGGGAAAGCAGGAAGGGAAGAATTAAGGAGTCGCGAGCAAGCAAGAAACCAGGTAAGAGACAAGTTGGTGTATTTGACTCTTCCTGCATGATCACAGCGGTCCTCAAAGCATCAGTGTGCCCAGACACGCAGGCGCGGGGTGGCTCTCGCGCATGCCTCTGATCTCTCCTTGGCGAAAGGGATGTAATTTCACTAATGCTCATTTCCTCCAGCCCTCCACAGGCGCGCACACTTCTCTGTTCTCTAGGGTCACGGACAGGGTTGCAGCCTTGTCAGGTTCACTAATGTCATTTCTTTATAGCCCTTGACTAGGGTTGCCAGCTCCAGGTTGGGAAATACCCGGAGATTCTGAAGGCAGAACCTGGGGAGGGTGGGGTTTGGGGAAAGGTGGACTTCGACAGAGTTATAATGCCATAGAGTCCACCTTCCAGAGTGGGGGAAATGTCCTCTTTTTGGGTTGGAAAGTTAGGAATATTCCCAGTTATTAGTCATGATCACAGCATAAATAGGAGGGGTATTTAAAATGAGATTTGTCATTGTGAGGAGCTGCGGTGGCTCAAGTGGTTAAGA